TTTATTTTGATTCCAACCATGCAAGAAACGGCGGCACGCACTATCAGAAGCCCATTTCGTGGCCTGACGGCGTAGTATGATTTAGCCGCTGATACTGGGAACAAGGGCGAACCACTGCATCGGGTCGCATTCTCCCCAGGAAGAAAGTGGCCAATTTCATTGGTACTGGTAGCTCGGCGACGGGTCGGCGTGTTATCTGCCAAGCCACTCAAAGTCCCAACGGTCAACTCGTCAACCCGCAGGAGAGTGATTCTGAAGTTGGCTTGTGAGATGCCTCGTGAGGCAACGCACTGCAAGCGGGAAAAGGAAGCTAGAGCCAGAGTGAAAGCGAAAACTGAGACCAGAAGCTATCTCCTCACATGAAAGAGTTTGCCATACCGATTCTTGTTAGCTTTGAGTGATATGAAGTGATAGCATTATATTGCTCGCATATTCCTGTCAAAGGTGCGACTCAATTCTGGGCCTGGCTGCTGTTGGGGCCTTTTCCGGCTCTAGGTCCTTCACACGCCGCGTTTTCGCAGCTCCTACAATGCTCTATCATTTGGAGGGGTGGAACAAGCTGCTGAATCCGCTGACCGATGACGAAAGCAGTTGGCATATTGACGGTGTGATCTCGGGAAGAATATGAATCACCTCAAGGGTACGGTAGTATACTGTACCTCGCTCCTTCCGTAATGGTGACCGATGATGTAAAGCTTAGGTAGACAGCCTGAACTTGAGATAGAACCAGGGGAATCTCCCGAGCGTTACCACTCCCTACCCCGGTCTTCTAAGTACATGGAGGCCTTGGTATCTATTTCAATATCAGACAGTTTAGTGTTACTACGCGATGTTCGGTTGGTTGTGGCCAGCTAGCTCTCCTATTATGAAGCGAAGTCTGCCTTGGGAGTAGGGATATAAGAAGGAAGCGTTTCCTCCAGGGAGTCTGGTCTCTTGGTTGGATCCCTACCTACCTTGCCATGAACGCACAGCACTAATACTAGCCTCCTCATCGATTCCATTTCCATCCTGCCCGTCGCTTGGGTTCATCTTACAACATGCGCTTTTCTCCCTCGTTGTGCTGAGCACTCTCCTTTGCTCCGTGGTAGCCGACTACAATCTCTGGTGGCGGAGCTGCACAACGGGCTTCGGTGACATGGGAGGTGATTGGCGTCAAGCCACCGCTTCGAGTGACAAAGCACGAGTTGTTGTGGGTCCATTGATCATGTGCAGCGCCCCTTTTCGTGTCCGTGGTGGCTCGGTCAAGGAGGTGATTCACCTTGTTGACCTAGGTGAGTCCACCAGTGTGACACAGCCCACCCGTCGTCGCAGCCGGCTCATGTCGCCGTCACCTCCCTCCCTTTGTATGTGCACCCGTATATGATACCAGGGCGGGCATGAAGGAGAATGCTGGCCATTCTGTCCACCTCAGTCCATCACGGGTAGCCAGCCGGTCATGTACCCCGATGTTTCACGATGCTTCGGCGGTCATGTACCCCGATGTTTCACGATGCCTCGGCGTAGCCTTTGCGAGACGAGTCAAGGCAGCAGTCATAGCCGATGAATCGGGCGTGGCACCATGCACTCCATCCACCTTGGAGAGCAAATTGTCCCGCAAGGCCTGAACGCATGGTTTAGCTCGCTGACTCACGCCAGCCCAGTAGCCGGCATGGTTTTGTTGCACTCGCACCAACCAACAGCAGGTAGGGTTTAGCTCGCTCTGATATAGCACACCATTCTAGCAATTGGCATGGATTATTAGTTGGGTGGAAAGTGGTCGCTTGCTTATTCTGGTCGCTCGCTGCACGTTAAAACGCGTCAAAGGGGTCAAATCCAAGTTATAAGAGTCGACAATCTTGCCAGTAAGCCCTTAGTAAGGACTTGTATGAAACAATGGGCAAAAAAGGCTACCTACAGCTCCATCGATTGTTACAACTCTCTCCATTACGCCTTTTTAGTTAATACATGTGGTATTTAACAGTATCGTGCAAGTCCCATCGATCTACGGCTAGGCGAGCCGGATATCTTCGACTACTGCACCACCTAACTCCAACATCCCAAACCCTTTGATGTGGTCAAACACATCTTCGATGGGCGTCACAAAAGAATACCCATCATCATTGCTTTGGGGCTGCTGTCCCTCAAACAACAGCCCCAAGACCCTGCCATCCTGGCCCCAAACAACAGAGCCTGAGTCTCCCTTGTTCGCAAATGGGATAGAAGACTCGTCATTATTAACCTTTCCAATCACCACATACTCACCAGACTTGCCCATACCGAGATAGCCGTCCTCCGCGACACTGCAATTCGTTTTGAAGTTGCTGAACTCCCCCGCTGTCCATTTCGTTGAGGCACCGACTTTATAGACATTACCCCCCTGGACAAAATCGTGCAGGGAGACCCCCTGCGACTTCAGGGTGTTACCGAACGTCACGGGGTCAGGAGCATTACCGATGGAATACTTGCTGTCCCAATTGGTCTCTGTCGGGAGCTTATTGACCCCGATCCGACACGTATCAACCGGTTGGATCAGCGCCCAGTCTAGCCGACCTGTAGGCTCCCCGTCGCTCCTTGACTCGGGCTTGGTTCGGTGTTTGTAACCCGAAGCAAGCCAGATGTTACCCAAGAGGTGTTTATCTTGGTCGAAGAAGGCGATCCAGTCACTCAGTCTGTTCTGACGAGCCGAGGTAGGGCGCGTTTTGATCTCTTCCAGAAGTTCGGTGACAGAGAAATTATGCTTTGCTCGTGCAGGATGCTCGATATCCGTAGTTGGCTCATTGCGATTATCACGATTGGCGAGACGCTTTGGCCAGAGTCCATTTTTGTCTCCCTTCCAGCATGGTGACTCGCCGTCAGGAATGCTTGGTAGCAAGCTCTCTCCCTCTTTCTTCAACCGAAAACCTTTTAATGCGGGTCGAACGACATGATAGTTTGTCAGTGCCATTGTCTCCCAGTCCTCGCCTTTCTTCTTTATCTGGACCCAACAACCCAGTGTACCAACTGCGGGACTGCTCAATGTCCCGTCCGGCTTTATCAGATACTCCGTGGTTCCGATATCCTCACCAGCATTGACCATGGTGTTATAAGTCCTCGTGACATCGTAGTTAAAATCCCTACGTCGTATGGCTCGCATGGCCGGGGTAAAGGCGGAGGGAACCAGCTGGAAGGCGGAGTAACCCACAGTATTGTGTTCTAGCTGGAGTTGGAGATTGTGACCTAGGGAATCAAGGTAATTCTGAATGGCTGTTGCGACAGGGTACCATCCGATCTGGGGCGAGTCATAACCCACCGAGACATAGACGGTCTTCGGGTTAGAGTCGAAAAGAGGATCAAAACCAAGCTTGAAAAGGGAGATTGCCGTCATATGGCCTCGTGTGGCGACATTGGTCTCTAGAAGCCCGAAAACATGGTCCTTGATCTTGGGCCAATCTACCTTGAGCTTCCCAAACAGCGGATCGTCCTTGGGAATGATGGAGATGTATTTCGGCCAGGTAAGTGTCTCGTCAACCATTTCTACGCTGATGTCAATGAAGTCTCCTGTCTCCTGGAGCCGCGAGTCTATGTATTGCTTGATTTCCACAACAGCCGCTTGCCAGCGACGTGCCGAGCTAGTCTCCCACTTCCCAACGATGAAAATCGTAGGCTGGATGTCGAGGGGGTCGTCACGGACAACACGCGCTGTGAGCTTCACAGTGCAATTCTCGTCATTGATTCCATTGCGAGAGAGAATCACGACGGCCTGCTGCTCGAACTCAGAGCCGAATCGTTTTTGGATGGCGTCGCAATTGTCGTCCTTGTTGCAGCATACCAAGGGCATCGGTCGAGGCGGGGTTACGACGCGAAACTTGACATTGGCGATGTAAAATGTCCCCGTCGAGCTATCGGAGGAATCCGAGGCTTCCTGCCTCCGACTTCTTCCGGATCTAGGAGCGCTGGACGACATGGCAGCTGCGACTAGCCAGTAATGCTCGAATCGCGTGCGTAATAAAGAAAAAGCAGCTATGTACCAGCTCCAGAAATTGGTTGGTTGCGAAAAGAAGAAAAGAGAACTGGAGGGTGGCAGAAAAGGTTATAGCCGACTTGTTGGGACCTGCGGCGTGGGTGGGCTGTCCTAGCAGTGGGACATGGCGGGACATGTTTACGCCTATCGGCACCTGTCAGTACCTTACACTAGTTACTACCCTCCTCTAATTACCCCATCTGTGGGACTGCCCCATCTCAAGCCGTTGCACCCCCACGCCGGCCAAAATTCTGCCAAGTCCCAATCCAGGCTCTGTCATACCGCCACCATTTTTCCACAAGTTGACTTTGCCAATCCTCGCAACCATGAATGCTGACGATGGCGTCTTTGCAACCACATTCAAGCAGGGCTCTGAATGAGCCAAACCCCCCAAACCCAAGCGTTTGGCATAGCCTGAGAGCGCTCCATGTTCAAGGTTCCTTCAATAGAGTTTTTATCTTGAACTTCCCAAGTAATTTTTCACCCCGCTTACTGGTCAACATGCTCGTGCCTTAAAATTCAGGGCCAACTGTTGTTGAACATAGAGCAAAACCAAAATACTGTCTGAGGTGACGTTTATCTCAAAACAGCTTATCCACCCATTCCGCCCCATGACTCCATTCCCAGATGACTCTTCTCAACAATCCAACAGCCCGATTAGCTCAGCTGGTTAGAGCGTCGTACTAATATATCTTCTGATATATGAAGTAATGCGAAGGCAACAGTTCAATCCTGTTATTGGGCAATCCTTCTTTTTGCCCTTTATTTCTATGAAACACTCATACTAGTCGCTAATTTACTCCTTTTTCTCTTTCAAGCCCACATTATCTCACTGCGATTGAAGGCATATCTATTGCATTTAGGGCGGTTGGCTATCTTTCGAATTGGCAAAGAGACAATCACCATCTCGGGATGCGACAGTCCAGTCCCGACACTATGGCACCAGAGGGCATATTACTTGAGAAATAGGAACACGATAAAAAGGATGGTCGTTCTAACGACGGGAATTGAGCGCGACGGGGGGGGGGGGGGGGGGTCGAACCCCTAACCTTGAGATGCCTAACTGTTTGAGCCATAAGTCCCACGCTCTACCGATCGAGCTAGCCGGGCGGATGCCTAATCGTTGAGAGAGGTGCCGGATGTTGGAGGCTATCCAGGAGGGAGGTGTAGCAAAATTTAAGGTACAACATCCACCCAGCATCCACTCAACCGCTGCTAGGATGAACCCTCCAACACTCTGCAACCTTCCGCATATTTCCGCATGGTAATTACGGGCCGACTCGAGCTTGCATACTACCTATGCCGGGATGCTTATCTGTTTACTGGGAAGGTGGAACTTGGGAGTGGATATAGGAGGGCTGTTACTATGAAGTCGAGCCATGTCGAGTGACGTCGAACTTGAAAGTTGCTAGGGCCGTGTTTTGACTATCTACCTCCGCTGCATAACTAAAGGATTGCGCCTTGGGCTCTTGCAGTGATTGAACGTACAACATCTAGAGTCTACACCATCCAATTGTTCATAAATGCTTCAAAGTCAAATAATGATGAGCAAACGGACTCAAATCTGAACACTACCTACATAACAGTACTAACTGTTTCACGACCCTAAAATCGACGACCACCCCTGCTCATAGTCACGTGGCTATTCGTCACGTTTGATCAGTCCAGATCAGCCCCGGCTCAGTTTCGGCTAATATCTACCCATCAAACAGCACAGCATTCCGAGAAGGTGCAGTTTTAGCCGAAGGGCCCAAAAATGGTCCTGTGTAAGGAAAGGGCCCAGAACTGGGACATTTGCACCCGCAATAGCCGCCACCCAGAACTTCATGGACAATTCGTCCAGGCCTTCCGCTTGGTAATGCTTATATCTATTACCAATCGTTGATACTGGGGATATTTAGGAGATGCCTTTGCTACTGAGCGTTGTTAGGAGATGAAGGGCATTTCGTATATTGAGACCATTTAGTGCTTGTCAAATGACTGTATTTAGAAGACATTCTAATGCCAAGGTAGCCTAAAGGATTTCTAGGAGCACCCTCGCATTCCTCTTCCGTATTTCCTCGCTACTATTTGGGTTGGCAGGGGTTACATAATTTCTGCTATTACCCAAACCCTTATAACAGTCTCCCCTACCTCCTCCTTATCTTCAAACACACCTCTCATCTCTTCTAATCTCATATACTATCAACAAGCCTGAATTCTTACAATATGAACCCCAAGCCTAAGAAAAGCAGTCTAAAGGGTAAGGACCTGGACGACCTGATTGAGAGAGCTATATAAGATGGCCTTTCTGAGGATAAATCTAGCATCGATAATAAGCTTATTCATAAAGAGCTCGCTCTAAGCTCTAAGCTGCGGTACGTAAAGATGATAAGCGTATAGGTTGCGTTAGTTCTGCCATTACAGATTTACATTTAGGAACCTGTATTAACGACTTATAGGTACGAGAGAAGATTCCCTGGCTCCGACCTACGTAACATGGAGACAATGAAACATTTTACGGAGAGTGTTAGACGCTTGACTAAGGCGAGGCTAGATAAAACACTGAACAGACCGACCGTTAAAACAATACAGAATAAGGTTTGAAAATTCATGTCGGCATAGGAACGTGAGACTAACCGACCTATCCCTAAAGAAGTCTATAACTCAATATACCCTGTAAGTATGCTAGTGATCGTTAGATATTCTTATAGTTTTGACTAATATAAGATAGTATATTCAAAATGTACTAAGGTTTAAAATTCCTCTTTCGATTATAGAAAAAGAACCTACGTTCTTAACCATGGAGAATTACATTTATATACAAGAGAAGTATTAAAAGAATAACGACTATAATTACGTCTTTAAAAGAGTCTAGATATTCTTGTCTTACCTATTAAATATATACTGCTATACTAGTGTAAGGCTATAGGAAATCTATATAGCGAAATACTAGGTAAATATATAAAATAGTACGATTAAAGGCTACTTTTAGCATTAAATTCTCAAATAGGACTTGCTTTATATAGTTAGGTAGAAAGACAGAGAGTTAGACATTAAGTTAGGTTTTAAAAGAGATCTTACTAAAGGCATATAAGACACCTTAAAGAAGTAAGTTAAGAATCTCCTATAGTCTAACAGTCTAGAAATCTAATAGAATATACTTAAGCTAAAGTACCCTCTTTATAAGAGATTGTCTCTTATATCTCCCCTTTTCGTTAATAGCATCTTGTTTTTACTAGTTATTTTTATTTTACGTAGTATGTTTAGGGAATTCCATACTATATAAGACGTCTTTACTATCAGGCTACTATTGAAGGAGAAGTACTAGATCTTAGAGTAGGCTGACGATGTTCTAGGTAACTTAGTCTTTCTTAAAATGTCTAAAAACGGCCTTATTCTAAATGATTTACCTAGCCTTAAGACTTAAGATAGTCTTATCTTTAAGCACTAAGTCAGGCATGTCCTTAATATAGTCTACCTTAAGATACCTTAAACCTACCTTACTTTTAAGGCTAAAAATAAAGATACTTAAGGCTACTAGTATTTAGATTAAACAAAATAAACGAATTTTCTTAAAGAGATAGGTCTACATACCGCTTATAGGGAAAAACTGATTAAGGTCGATAGTAAGACCTTTAACTCTCTTTAAGCTAAAGGATATCAAAAACTAATTAAAAATAGATAATGGTTACTCTCTTAGCTAAGTTATAAAGTTTACTAAGTATAGAAACTCAAAAACCCTTAACGTATTTTATAAGCGAGTGAGCAATATAAGCGAGTGAGCACTTTCCCCCCACAACACCACTCCTTCAATCAACACCAGTTTTCTCTACCACCAACCATGGCCTCTACTTCAAAAGAGGCTATGGTGGTTTTGGCTCTTCAAGCTCTCGAAAAAGATCCAAAACTGAAGGTCAAAACCGCTGCAAAGATCTATAAGGTTGACCGTATGGCCCTGACGCGACGACGCGACGGTCGGCCTGCACGATGCGATACTCCAGCCAACTCACGGAAACTTACGGATCTAGAGGAGAGGACAATTATTCAGTATATAACTGAGCTTTATACGCGAGCATTCCCTCCTCGGCTTCGTTTTGTGGAAGATATGGCCAACCGACTACTCCGCGAACGCGACGCACCCCCTGTCGGCAAGCTCTAGGCTCATAACTTCGTCAAACGCCAACCAGAACTCCGGACGCGTTTTACGCGTAGATACGACTACTAGAGGGCCAAATGCGAAGATCCAAAGATTATTCGCGAGTGGTTTACACTTGTACACAACACCAAGGCCAAATACGGTATCCTCGACGAAGATACATACAATTTTGACGAGACCGGGTTTATAATGGGTATGATTACCACTGGGATGGTAGTTACTACCTCAGACGGCTATGGCAAGGCCAAGAAAGTCCAGCCTGGTAATCGCGAGTAGGCTACGGTTATCCAAGGAGTAAATTCTCAGGGTTGGGCTATCCCACCATTTATCCTCTTGGCCGGAAAATACCACCTCGCTCACTGGTATCAAGAGTGCGACCTTCCGGCTACTTGGTATATCGGAACAACCGATAACGGCTGGACTACCAATGAGAAAGGCCTAGATTGGATCCGGCACTTCGATTCCCACACAACATCTCGTACGAAAGGCAAATACCGGCTTCTAGTCCTCGACGGCCACGAAAGCCACCACTCCGAGCAATTCGAGACCTTCTGCAAGGAACACAACATTATTACGCTTTGTATGCCTCCGCACTCCTCGCATCTAGTCCAACCATTAGATATTGGTTGTTTTGGGCCGTTAAAGAAGGCCTACGGCTATCAAATCGAGGAACTTATGCGTATGCATATCACACACATCACCAAGCTGGAATTCCTTTGCGCGTTTAAAGAGGCGTTTTTTACCTCTTTTACGGATAAAAATATCCAAGGAGCCTTTGCCGGAGCTGGCCTTGTACCGCACGATCCAGAGAGGGTGATTTCTAAGATGGATATACGGCTCCGAACTCTAACTCCACCAGTCTCACGGCCAGGTACACCACTACCTTGGCTACCTCAAACGCCACAAAACCCCCGAGAAGCTACCTCACAGTCAAACTTTATTAAAGGCCGGATATCCAACCATCAAAACAGCTCTCCAACATATATGCTAGCTGCTGTGGACCAATTGGCTAAAGATACGATGGCTGTAATGCATGAGGTGGCTCTTCTACGTACGGAGGTCTCTCTATTACGCAAGGCAAATGAGGGACTTAGTAAGAGACGGAGAGCCAAAAAAACACGTATACGGCTTGGAGGGTCTCTTACCGTACAAGAGGCACAGGATCTAGTGGACCAGAAAGCTGTGGATGAGCAGGTAGGCCAGGAAATACGGCAAAATGGTAATGGTGCAGGGGGTCTCGCACAAAGATTCGGTGCTGTGGCTTATGCGGTAAGCCTGGCCATAATGCACGCACTTGTCAAGAGGCTGGAGAATCGTCTGATTCATCTATTTCTGGTTCAGTAATTATTATTTCCTAGTGTTGTGGTGGTGTAATTGTGGATAGTTGTAATAGGGTGGTGGAAAAGTGCTCACTCGCTTATATTGCTCACTCGCTTATATTGCTCACTCGCTTATATTGCTCACTCGCTTATAAAATACGTTATTAGTTACTACTTAGATAATATGAGTAATATAGATAGTATAGCCATATATCTTAGCTTAGAACTACAACGTAACATTACTAAGGACTTCTAATCTACCTCTATAGGTCAGAACCTAGGTCTCTTATAGTTACTCCTAGCTAGAGTTATTAAGAAACTAAAGTAACGCTAGGACTATATTAAACTATAAGAGTAAATTAAGGTTCTCTCTTTAGAGATTAAAGTAGCTATTATAGAAGAAGCATAAGAAGAATTTAAAATCTAGTTAGGCTAGACTTATTATTAGCTATAAAGGCTCTATAATATAAAACTAGAGAAATATAAAAAGGGTTAACTGTAAGTCTATGATACTTAACGTAAGACTTATAATAAAGGTGACTAGCATTATAGCTACTTTAATCAAGTTATCCGTCATATAATTTCTAAGTAAGATCGACTTACTAACACCCTTATACTAGCAGTTCTATTATGTAGTCTTAAAGGCATCTCTA